GATTCAATTTTAATATTTCAATAATACAAAGTTGTGACGATCCGTACAAATACACGTTTGGATCGGCAGATCATAAGATCCGTCACAAATGTCTAATTAAAATATTTTACTTATATCACTTTATCTGTCTATGTAAATCATAAATTATTTTGTTGTAAGGATTAATTTAACTTGGCACATCTTCTAAGAAAGGTTACACTTTTATTTTTATATGTTAAAATATAACTCTAATACAGTATAATTGCATAGTCATTATCTATACGAGAGTTAATCGTTCATCGTATGTACTTGCGTTCATAAGGAATAATGGAACATTTTATCTTTGAATTGTACTTTCTTATAGTTATAACGCTATTAGGTATATAATATTGTATAATATAATAAATCATATACAATATAGTGATATACTTTTTATAAATCACCTAAGTGAACTAAAGTTTATATGAGAGAAGTAAACATTTCTAGTGCAGTAGTTCATATTATCTTACAATTACATGTTAAATACTTATTCTTTTTGTATAAATACAGTTTAGACTTTTTATAGAATTGTAGTAATATAATTAAATGTAATTTGTTATAAAACCAAGTAAATATTATAATATATAACTACAAAATGAATACAAAACTCTGTTTGTCCATGGTCATCGTAGAACTTAGTTGTATTACAGCTCAGGTAAAATTTAATTTATCCAGATAAACCCGCATTGTAAATTAATGCGACATAAATTTAATTATTTAACAAAAATATAACATTTTATCTAATTCACCATCTATATAGATAATTCCATATGTAAAAGTACAAGTATATTACTCGCCGTTTAGTAAAACAGCCGCAGATTTTATAGTGTTAAATACAAAGGGAAACGCCAAAGGTTTATGGGATTTAATGGAGCCTAAGTATAGCCATGTCGATGATTATAAACTTGAGGTGGACTATATACCATGGGGTAGAGCGACCAGAGTGCAACAACCGGATGGACAGTATGTCTACAACTGTCCCAATGGCGATACCGACTGTGTCGGCACTAGACTACATGTATGTACCAAAATATTTCATTAAAATAATTAAAATAAATGTATTTATAGTAAAGTATTTAAAAATTATTTATTATTTACATTAATTTTAAACTAGGCCTGTATAGCCCGTAATCATGTGGTCACGGCGCAGAATCACCATAATTGTTTTATGATACTGTGCACGCTGACTCAAGCTGATTTCAAGTTGACGCCCACTAAGAGTACACTTTATTGCGCCAAGGTAGTTAATGATCGACCCGAAAATGGCACTGCGCTTGCGCTGTGCGCACAACCTGACAGCGCAAATGGGAATCATTATTTGGACGAAACACTAGCAGTGACTGACGCCCTCTATCCACCATTTGAACAATACGGTACAGTATTATAATTATTTAATTTATATTACTAAACATTATAGTTTATATTATTTTATTTTAGATTCCGATACACTAGTAGTAATAAATGGCAAACGCAATACCATTGCATTGACTAATTTGCGCAAGCAAGTTTGTTTGGCATTCAAGGTAGTTATTACAACAAAACATTTAATATTGTAATACATACTAAATTTTTGTTAATTTTTAAATATTTTTGTGAAATATAGACTCAAGGTTTCAGCCCTAAAGAATGCACATAATATGCATAATAAACCCAATTTCGACAACTTATTATACTAATTATTTATGATCAATTATTGTGTAAAATAATTTTCATTTTTAATTATAAAATTAATAAAATAAATAAATATTTAATTTGATATTATTTAAATATTTATAAGATTTAAAATGTTGCATAGTTTATATGTTTAACAATTGTAAATGACATTGTTAATTTGTTTCAAATACAAATCTAAAAGTACATCTAACATAGCATTGGATTATGAATAATAACTAATAATGCATTAACTTTTTGATACATCATCTGCAAAAAAATTAGATCAATCGCATTTGTTATAAATTTTATCACACAATCACATTTGTAATCCCATGTTAATTTATCATAGACGGGGGCCGAACGATCTTATAAACCACATTATTCATATCAAAATAGTGGTTAAAAATTTTAGACAATATACAATATTATATATTAATAATATACCATCAAACGTATTAAATAATCTGTAAACAAAATAAAGTTTTAATTATAATTTCAATTTATAACCGGGAGGGTAAGGGAAGCCAATTGATCATGTTAAATAAAACATAAAAGATAATAATAATTATCAAGAGATCTTATTATATTTACTTATCATTGTTTGCATTGTTAAATCATTTTGATTAAATTTTAGTTGTTACGAACGTTTCTACCAACAAAACATTTATTATTATTATAACAAAACATATATTTATTAAAAGTTATCAAAAATAAAATTTATAAAATATAACAATTTAATTATTAATTCCTAACCATGATTAAGCTAACATATAAATTACTGTTAAACATAATCTTATACGTGATATGTTTGATGGGATGTGTGTATCAAACGTATAAAATAAGTGAATTATACTTTTCATACGAAACCACAACTAATGTCATATACGGATCGGAAACTGAGTTTCACTTACCGGCCATTACTATATGCTTTCGCAAAGAAGTTATTTTACAATGGGCTTATAATTCTACCAAGTTAAATAATAGTATTATAACTACCTTCTCGATTGGCAAACAATATGATATTTTATCTCAATATTTTGATAAAATAGTTGGATGTAAAGTGAATAATGGATTTTATAATATAACGGAATATCATATCGGCAATTGTAAAATTGAAACCGATTACAGGGTGTCCATAAATGATTACTTTTATTGTATCACACTTTTCACACAACTTGCTAATGAAAGTGATATTAAGTATTTGATGCGCTCGGATCTAAATGTTGGTATAGCCAAAAATCACCTTATTACATTTATCATACGCGATCGTACAATGATGTACAATAATTACATCTCAATAATGTTACACTCGCGCAGAGAGCGTGTCTATCATCCCTACGTTAGCAATTCGATTCAGCTAAACTTACATGATCATAATTTGGGGATAGTAAAATATAAAGAGACTGTGACGCAAAATATAATCAAAAGCAACATGGTCAATTGTCTTCATAGAAAAACATGGGGACAATGCGTTAGCGAGTGTGAAATACATAAATTTATGACAACAAAGTCCCTTTTAAATGGCTATTATTTAACATACGATGTACATAATTACACCCTGTATTTTGCCAACGATAGTAAAGATTATATCAATACATTTAATAATTATTGTGTCCGTGAATGCGCTAATCGACCCATAAATTGTGTTCAACACTATTATACAACATCTGTATTCAAGTCCACTCATAAACTAATTGAAAATAATTATTTCTTGATATTTGATTATCCTGATCATCCTACTTTATATTATAATTTATGCCTCAAAATGTACGTGGAAGAATATCTATGCCTTGTTGCCAGTATATTAGGCCTTTGGTTTGGATTTAATATTATTATATTCGGTCAGATATGTAGTGAAATGTTTTATAAGCTTGTTTCTATTTGCTTGATTAATACTAAAAATTATTTAATTTATTTAACCAACCAATATAATTGCAATAATATTAATTGTATAATTTTTAATAGGAATAAGATATTTACAAATACCATTAATCTTAATGTTAATAGTTTATCAAATGTATCTTAAGTTAGTGCATAATTATAAAGATATAAATCTTTATATTGATATACAATTTTTAATTTCATTATGATTAATATAAAATAATTTATTTTATTTAACCATCTTGTGCTATTTACAACAATCAATCAAAATCACAATAGAGTTTATAACATCACAGTTTATAAAATTATAACATTAATATTTATTGTAAAGCTTTATATAACATATTATTAAAAATATCTCTAGTATGTAAAAAATCGTTATAATAACTATTACAATACACATCATTTCGATAACAATTTTATAATAGTAAAATATTTATAGATATCAAGTTTTAATAGTAACTTGTATGATCGGTACCTTATATGTTTTTTATCATCAACACTAATAAACAATATTTGTTCATTTATACAAACATAACATTAAATATATAGTTGACATTATTGATTTTCTTAATTATCAAATGTAAGTTATATACTTTATTCTACAAAATCATTATTTCTACAGACAACATGTTGTGTAATTAAGTCTAGTTTAATATTTATTAATAATTTTATATAATAATATATTTTTTGATTTAAAAGTAATGACATTAATATTAAATTTATATTAATTATATGATAACTTATAATCATCAATAATATTATATTTTAGCATTATACTACTGACATGTTTTAATAAACTCTCATAAACTCTACAATGTCTGAAATGTTGCTATCGTTCTGCAATCCAATAGAATATATTGAATCACATAAAATAGGTTTGTATCATAAATTCGTCAATAATATCAACATGACCACAATTGATTGTCAGTCATACATGGTTAATCGGCAACTGCCACAACCCTGTATGCCATCTGCATTTACCATGATGATTTTTAAAGACGAGGTTTGTTATTTTACCAAATTGATAATTAAAATAATTAACATTTATATTACCAATATAACTTATTTGAAATTAGAAAAAGTACCTTGACGCTGGTAACGGCATTGCTTATGTATTCACAGCGAGTGTCAATATATTACTAGATGTTGGTAAACACGCAAATCGCAGGCATGTATTTTGATTAAAATTTAATTTAATTAAAATTCTGTAATTTATTACATTTAATTATTTTGTTGTAATAATATTACTTCAATCAGATTTGTAACTTCATTGAAATATAGATTATTTTATCATTTCTAGTTAAAATTATTATAATTTATAACTGATTATTAAAATAATTAAAATATTGTAATGCAATGTTCATGTGCATATTTACAGCATTCATCTATTTTTATTTGATTGTTCATACAATGACTTATCAACGCATAATATATCGTGGTATCCGATGGTCAGGAATGGCTATATAACAGCGTTGGCCGATAGTTATAATGATTATATATGGTATACGCAACAACAATCGCTCAATTGTAACTGGCCAACAACTGTCCGACACATGGTCAATTATATTAGCGGTGATTCATTACTACCCTATCCGCCAATGACTGATATATGGCGAGTGTTTTCAGTGAACGTATGGCTAACAATATTGACGGCGTTTATCGTAATGATAACGATTGGCAGTTTGCATGACAAAATTATCCGAAAGGGTGACCACATGTCATTTTTTCGTAACGCATGGATTTTTATGAAAGCGTCGATGCTAATCGGCGAACGCACACTTGGCCACTCTAATTGGCTGTACATCCTATGGCTTATATCAATCATGCCGTTGGCGTATATTATGCAAAACGATTTGACCGCTCAGATGACCAACAGGTAAAGTTGCCTTATAATTATAGGGTGGCCATTAATATCAATATAAAGTTATGTATAATTCATTGATTGGATTCCAATTATTCTAAATAATATTAAGACCTGTCAAACACATGAACAATATCGACGACTTGGTCGCTGACAATCGGTATAACATATACGTCGATACACTAGTGAACGAGTTGGCCAACGCCAGCGCCACCGACACCCTTTACGATCGTACGTTTGTACGCAAGTTGCGAACAATTGTGAAACGCGCCCACTTATTATTTTTAATGGACCTTGTTGAACCATTTAAGACAAAGGGCGTTTACGAGGCATTTAAAAACATGGTACTAATATTCACAGGCTTCAATTTGGCACGTGCTATAGAATGGGGCAACCGAATAGTTACTCTACACTTGGCTGAGCCTAATGTGCTCGCTCTACTGTCAACGTTGTGCTATGGGCCACAATTATACGCTTATGTTGACCAGGTGGATTTAATGTGAGTACAATAATTAGGCTATTTAATATTTTAATTTTTGCATTCTATAATTACTTTATATAAAGTGTATAATAATAATAATATTATATTATATTATAGTATACAGCGATATATTGAGTATTCTTTTATACCTTATTGGGAAAATCAATTAACTGAATACGGAATGGCAATATTTTTCCAGCTTATTGTTTCAATGGACATATTGGACGGGCATAAAATAAGTGAATATTATGGAATAGAATCTAACCACGCACAATATTATGAAATTATAAGTATCAACCTATGTAAAACACTGTATAAATTTATTGGGCATTGTTACATGTTTGCCGTATGCGTACTCGCAGTTGAATTTACAGTCAAGAGAATAAATCCTAATTATAATTTCTAATTAATTACTATTTAATTATTTTAATTACATTAATATTTCTACCAACATAAAAATTAAAAAATTGCAGTAAATACAATTATTACATTAATTGCTTAATTGTGTTATTCAAATAATATAAAGTAATACAAAATAAAATAAAAAATTTGATTAATTCACATCATGACAGTTACTAATATAATTTAATATTATATTAATATAAGTTAAAAAACAACACCAAAATTGTATAATAATTACATTTATTTAGCTTTATTAAAAAATAATGTTATTTTTGTCTAACTAAACTTTGCGTTATTATAAACCAACCAAGTTTTCAGATTTATTAAATAATTAATCTACATTGTATTAGCTATTGTATAATCTAGATGACATTTATTTTGAACTTTTTATTAAACTAAAATCTACTTGAAATTACTGGGAAGTGTGCAACAATAAACTTACGTATATAGAAAACTGAGAAAATTACGTTTTGCTAATAGTGTAATATTTTAAATCAATTCTTGGCAGATAAACATTAACTTATATACATTTACTTATAAGATAACAAAGTGTAATTTATAGTATATAAAGACCTCAATTTAACGTTAAATAAATTGTCATTCCAGCATAGATTCAATTAGTAATCTAACGAGCAATTAAAACAATTAATAATTAAACCGAAAATGATTAATCAACGTGAGTTAATTTCTTAAAAATTTAACTAATTAAATTAATTTATCAAATTAACTTTATTTTTAACACATACAGTGAATCTGTTGGCATTGTTCGCATTGGTAAACATTATCATATGCACCAAAGTGGACAAATGTCCCGAAGTAACTATACAATCACCATGCTCCATGGCATTAGTATCTGAACGCTGTAGTATATGGTGCGAAGGGAATGTTAATTTGACGGCCATTTTTGGTGACCTAAGTCGCAAACTACCGGCGGATAAAAAACAATTTTATACATTAAATTTTTATGACCTCTCCATCGATGAACTGCCGGCCAATGTATTTGGTGGCCTACAATTTGAGCAGATCTATATACAGGGCTCGACAGCATTGACACGTGTGCATCGACTGGCGTTCAACGGCACCGACACCTATTCTACTAAGTTATATATAGTTGGGTCGCCGCTAACTGATACCATGGACAAAGACTGGGACCTATTTGGGGCCATTCACAAATTACGTGCGTTAAAATCCCTATCTATAGAAAATAGTTCCATTGCAATGGTTCCAACCCAAGCCGTATCTGGACATCAAAATTTAAGTGAAGTCTACATTATATGGAATCCGCGACTTAAGTCAATAGCCGCGCATGCGTTCGACGAATTGCCCGCATTAAAGCAATTATTCTTATCGAACAACGCTATCCAATCAGTGGGTGGCCACGCCTTCGCTGTCGCTGGTAACCATAGCGACGACCAATTGGTGCAAATATATTTGGATTCTAATTCGCTGACCTCTGACTCGTTCGGTGTCGGAGCGTTCAATTCAATTAATTCTTTGGTCGAATTAGCCCTCTCTTACAATAGTGTCGATCATTTAGATCGAGTAATATTCGAACCAATGTTGAATGAATATAATATGAGCATGATCTTTGATGATCAGATTGATTGCGCCGACACTCGTAATCAATGGGTTAAAAATTACCCAACTGCATGGAAAGAATTAAAATGTCCTAAATAATAAATGCTGATAATTTAAAATGTCCAATTTGTGAAATAGGATAAATTATAAATTACTCTATTTATTTTAATAAATTTTATTTAATTAAATGTTGTTAATTTTATAACATTAATGATTGAAGTTTGATTTTGTTTTACTTGTCTAACATTTAATAATCTTTGTAAATAAAATTTATAATTATAACTTAACATTTATAATTATAATTAAAGATTGTGTGAAAAATATATTTTGATTTTAGAGAGTGATAAGTCATTAGTGCTAATGTCTAATTGTACTTAATATGTTACTGTGTAGTATGAATGTAACAGCTGTATCTATAAATGTAACAGATGTATTAAAAAAATGTAACCGTTATTTTTAAATTTTATTCATTTAAATCTAATAATAATCCGAGTAGTTCATATTTGATATATCTTTTAAATGTAATGAATTAGATAAAATTTACATAGTATACAATAATGATCCATATGTATAGTTTATTTGTGTTAAAAGATCATTAAATTTAAATGGCTGAAAAACATAAAATTTTTAAATATTCTCTAAAATATAATTTTTATTATAAGAGTGGCTAAAGGTTGAAATGGAGATAACAAAGTACTTAATAAAAAATGTAATTTATTTTCTAAGAATTAAATTAATCTATTGATTGATTTTAATGAAATAAGTAACTTATGTACTATATTATCTGTACTAGATACAAAATATTTTATTTTTCTTAATAAAAATAAAATAATTCTTATGGTGCAATTCTTTATTTTTCATATTAAACTTGTACTATTTTAATCTTAAAACATAAATTTTCAAAATTAATTGGAAATTTCAGCACATAAGTTGATAAGTTTTTAAAAAGTATTTAAGGCGAGTACTTTTATACTAATTTAAACATTTAGGAGCAATTAATTACAACAATCAGTTGTCTATTTGTATCAATAATTTAAACTACATTAATATTATCATGAGTGAGTAATATAATAAATCAAATAAAAATAATTATATAATTATGTTAAAATGTTTAAAATTTAATCTAGATTAGCAGCAACTATACCCGTTAGCGGTGGCTATCACATTAATTATTATAGCAACAACCTCGCTGTCAGCCAACGCAGAATGCTCAGCACAGGAGAAATACAGCCCCTGTACGTGCGTTGACCATGGTCATGGGAGTACAGGTCGGGAGATAATTTGTACCAATATAAACGAGCCTATTGGGCCAATGTTTAAGCGCATGGGCAATTTGCTGGGCAACGACACGTTATACCACATGATGACCATTATAAACAATAACGACGTGGTAGAATTGCCAGCTAACGTATTTGGCAAGTTAAAATTTGAGGCACTAAAAATCAACGAAACTAAAATAAGCTGAATTCACCGTGACGCGTTGGCGAGTACCGAGCTCATTTATATATTAATAAATAACACACCTATTGTCGACTCAGCCGAGCCCGGGTACAACCTGTTTGAGGCGATTAGGGCGACGACCACGCTGATTTCCATCCAGATTTATGGTAGTAATTTGACCAAGGTACCACGTGACGCTTTTAGATCCCATCCAAATATAGTTAATATAGATATGGCTAATAATCCAATCGCCGCTATAGAGCCACACGCGTTCGACAACACAACCATGTTACAATATATGGTGTTTAGTAATGATCATCTGGCAACGCTACCAGCCGACGCATTTAATGTTGGTGAAGAAAAATACCGTGAAATTGAAGTACACTTGGAGGGTAATAATTTGAACAAGGTCAATCTAACCGGTGCCACATTTGCCCACATTAATGGTTACGTTAATCTATATCTCTATAATAATGGCTTTCAATACCTGAATGAGACTGTATTCACAGCATTCCTATTGAGTAAACCTCATAATAAAATATATTCAGACACCGATTGCAAACATAAAGGTAATGATTGGTTGCGAGAGAAATACCCAAATAATTGGATTAATAAAAATTGTTAACAACCAATATTATGATATTCAATAAATACGATGCAAGTTATACAAAGATTTTATTTTGTAATTTTATTATTTTAACATAACCTACTAGTTTCGTGAGTGGGTAGCCGAATAATTATATAAATTATTTATACTGTATACCAATAAAAATAAACCATATAATTAACTAATTTTGTTATAAATAATTTTATTCAAGGCTAAACATAGACAAGTTTTATAATTATTAACATTAGCCCAATGTAAATTCTAACCTAATGTCATAGACTAAAGTAATCAGGATAACCCAAAATTGGTATAAATGAGTATTCCTGTGTTAGTTACTCTTTATAGCATTAACAAAAGTTGTTTCACTTAAATAATGCTATTCACCAAAATGATAATGCTTAAACTCTATCTATAAATTATATATATCAATTACAATAATCTTGGTCATAAATTAGTTGTTACTCAGGTATCTCATGGCTAAACTGTATAATGTTACATGAAAACTAGTTCTATCTGAATGTTTAGAGTATTAATAAAAGTTTTACCATATGACGAAATGAATTGTATAAAGTATATTATTTAATTTATACTATAGTGTACAATATTTATTAATCTAGATTAATTGATATAAAATATTAATTGGAAACTTGACAATGTTGCGATAAACTATTATAAAAACGATATTAATTTCAATAATATTAATAATCTACTAAATTCTAATACATAGATTAAGTTTTGTAATTCATATTAGTTAGATAATGATAAGTTGATAATTAATTTATATACAGTAAATAATTTATATATAAAAACAAACTAAACAAATTGATAAGTTAAATGTCATTGTAATCATGGATTACTACACAATTATTTGGTTTCTAATAAAGAATTTCAAGTGATTTAATCAATGAATTAAAATTATAAACTCAATAATATAACGTAATGTATTGGTGTCTAATTATCACTTAACACATCATTAAAATCATTTAAGCTTAAGGTAATTAATGTTCTAATTGTAACTTAATTTATGAATATATTACTTAATATTAATACTCTAGTAATATAAAATTATTATATATTATATACATTTTGTAAACATACTATTTTTCATTTATTTTATCTAGTGGTAAATAAAACAAATAAAAAGTTTTGTACACAATTGGTCAAATAATTAGAACAACTTATGTCTTTATTTGAATAAGATTAAATAATGACATATATCAATTTTATAATATTAAGAGATTAGCGTTATGTCAACTAAACTATTTGACTTTTGTGGAAAGCAAACATATAAAAGTCAGAGCAAAATATAATAAATTTACTCACAATTCTTAAAGTGGAAATCAATTTCATTTATGAATTACATTTAAAATGTTGTTAAACATGTATTTTAAAAGTATAAGCATTAATGATTTAAATACATTACCATTATAATTAATATTTGTCTCATTATACTTTAGCATTCCTATTCGTATTAACTGCCTTAATTAATTGCGTGGTTGGAAATAACAGCGCGTGCCCAGATACACCAATTCGACCACCATGCAAATACATAGATGGCGGCACATATTGCGACATCGAATGCAAAGGTCCTGCCTTTATTACAAAGATTTTGACAGACTTAAACAGTCGGCTACCTATTGGACAGAAATTGTTCCGAAAACTTTACTTATCAAACACGCAGATAGAAGAACTGCCGGCCAAAGCTTTCGGTGGCATACAGTTTAGCGAGATTAATATACAAGAATTATATCAATTACGTCGCGTAAACATCGACGCGTTTGACGGAACGGCTTTATCAATAACAACGTTATTTATCTCGTGGACACCGGTCACCGAAGTGGCCACAAACGGGTCGGACCTGTTTGCCGCGATAGACATGTTGAAGTACTTAGAATCACTCTATCTGGGTGCGACCAATGTGACCACGTTACCATCGATGAGTGTATCGGGCTTAAGAAATTTGCGCTACATATATTTTAATCACAACCCACTTAAGTATGTGGACGCCAACGCGTTCAACAATTTACACTCTCTTAGTCTACTTGAGTTTACCGAAAGCCCAGCACAACGTGTGGCCGCCTATGCGTTCACTATCGGCCAAAACACTACGGCTCAAGCGTTGCGCATTGACTTTAGTCCGCAACCAAACGACCCGTTCGACATCCGATCGTTAGAATCGATCGGTTGTGCGACTACTTTATCGCTTGGAAAGGGATCTATGAAATACTTGAATCGAATAGAATTTGAGACCTTTTTTAGCGCAAACGTTAAGAATACAGTGTTTGACGTCGACATCGATTGCGCCGATAGTCGTAACCAATGGATTGTACAAAAGTATCCGCACGTTTGGAAAGATTTGAAATGTTCAACTATTTAATGTAAATTTTTACTATTAATTGTATTGGAACAAAAATTAATGTCTACTTAATAGTCATTTAATTTTGTAATTATTTTAAATAATCCAGAAATAAATTGTTTTATTGCATTAATTTTGATTGTATTATATGATTATATTGATGTTATAATAAAAAAATAAAACTTATATTTTTAATTTTTAAAAAATTAATACTTTAAATTTTAATCAATCATTCTAAATTTATATAATATTTCGACATGGGCTACTTTTGTTAGAATCTGATTATATTTAATAAAGTTAAATATATTATATAGTTTATAACGTTATTTTTAGTTCAATTTATACTGAATTGTTATACATATAATTTAAGCCAATTTGATAATGTGTTTAACAAAATAAAAACTTAAAATAATTGTAAATTGTAAATATTAATACATAGAACATAAATGTGACACATTAATTCACATAATGAAAAGTAAGATTAGTAACAAGTTTAATTACATTATAGTGGACTGAATCTAGTATAGTACTGACGATAGTACTGACGGAACAGTACAGTTAGCTGAGGGCTATTTAACAATAATAAATAAAATGCCAAACATTTATCTTTAATTTACAATTGATTTGATTATAATATCTTTTGTAGTTTTCGAATAATAAAAAAATCAAAACCCGCGTTCATGGCCGAAGACACTGATTTACACTGTGTAATTAAGTGTATTACTTTTCATTCTAATCATTGTTCAAATTAATGTAATATCACCTGACTTAGATCATATCATGACTGCTATCATGACTGCCTTGTCATGTCAATCGACTCCCGTACGCTCTTATTTAATAAAGTTAATTGTTATCGTTATAAATAGTTTCCAGTGTTGAGTAGTTATGAGATATTCTTATACTGACGAGGGGTTTGCCGGACACTAGCCATGTCTGACACAGATTGACCTCCCGGTCAGTCCAATAGCTTGTGCATGCTTGCGAGTATTTGAATTTCAAAGAGTTATAAGTGTAATTTTTTAATTTGGAAATGTAGAAATACTTACAACAAAGATACATACAAAGTCAGAATTGTGAATGAGCTTATTGTTCCCAGTATTGCCTAGTACAAAATGCAATGTGTTAATTGAACATATCTGGTTGATAACAAAATAAATTATTATAATAAAGCAAATACTGAGTTGAATATAAATTATCATGATGGAGTAGTGTGTTAAATGTATATGCTCAAAATTTGTCATTAATAAGTTGTCAATAAAAATTGTTTTATATAAATAAAAATAAATATGTTAGTAAATAAACAAATTAAAATTGCATTCTAATAATTTTTTATTAAATTTTAATTAATTAATAGTTATTCATTTATTTAAATTCTGTTCCATATTGTCATGTTCAAATTTTAAGTTAATTACAAACATTTCAAAATAGTCCATTCGTTAGGGTATTGCTCTTTAATCCATTGGTTACGACTATCGGCGCAATCGATGTCCGCATTAATGTTATTATTTATAGGATTTTCACGAAGAAATCCCTCAAAAACTTTGCGATCCAAATAAGCGACAGAGTTGTGGTCAAGGGTTAAACCAATATTACATTTCGACCCCTCAAACGCTCCGACAGCAAAGGAATCGGCGGTCAATGAATCAGAGTTTAAATAAATGAATATTCTATGAATTGTATTATTTGTGCAAACAGTGAACGCGTGTTCGGACACCACTTTCACAGGGCTTTCAACGATATGCAAACTATATAAATTTGGTAAATCATTGAAAGCACCGGTTGCTATGGTTTGTATCGGGTTTTTGGCAATACAAATGAATTTCAAATTGTGCATGCCAGAAATTGCTCTCGTGGGCAGTGATGTTATATTACCATCAGTTATTTGTAACATCCTTAACTTGTTTAAAGTATTAATGGCGCCAAACAGATCCCATTCCTGGTCCACAGTCTCGGTAACGTGTCCGCCGATTTCTAACCAAGTCGTATAGGTGTCGGTGCCGTTAAACGCATGCTTATGGATACGCTTTAATCCGGTGGTCGCTTTCAGGTCTATAACATTGAATTGTATGCCAGCGAACGCATTGGCCGGCAGTTCAGCAATATATTTGTTAACGATATTAATATATGCAAAATGCTTTTCATCGGCCGGTAGTTTACCACTCAATTCAGTGAAAATTGATATCAAGTTTAACGCCTCATCGCCTCCACACCAAATAATGCATCCGGTGACTTCAACATATTGAAATGCGCATGGTGATTGTATGGGCACATCCGGACATTTGGTCACATCACTCATGCATACTTTAACCAATGCTACCAAAACCAATAGACTTACTATGCAATAAAAAAAACAAAATAATTTAAAAAATAAATTTTATTAAATATTTAAATGAATGTAAATATTAAGTAACAATGAATCTTGAATACCAATTTAAAATATGACAAAATGTTATAAAAGGTTAAATATAATTATATTGGCAGGAAATTAATTTACTTGTAGAGTCTGTTTGAATGATGATTTATTAACAAAAATAACCCACTTTTATACTCTAAAATGTTCAACAAATTTGTTTATATTTCTCATTAATTATAAAATTATCAGATTAATTGGAAATAATAATTTTTATTAATCATTTTGTAAGTACGTATGTTTGATAACTAATAGCATGGTACACTTAAACTCATATCAATAAATTCGTGTTAAATTAGCTTAACCCTTAAAGCTTAAACTATGATTATAAACGTTGTAAATAAACTGGGATTGTAATCTCCCAGCAGTTAGTGCATAAACTGGGAGATTAATAACCCACGATTTAGTGCTGTTTATGCTGGGAGAATAGTCTCCCAGTTTATGCAGTTTAATGCTGGGAGATTGATCTCCCAGTTTATGCAGTAAGGGTAGATTAAAATTAGCACTATTTATACTGTAGGGAAAAAGT